TTGACCTTTGACCTTTGACCCCCAGCTTCGACATCCCAACTCGTTTTCGGATTACCCCCCCACGTCCCGAATATCGTGACCGTACGTCGAGCGGTTAAGATTTGTGCCCAACTGTTGACGGACGCACGGACGCTCGGACGGACGGACGCACGGACGCACGGACGATCATGCGATTCTACAAGCTGCATCTGACTATGTCAGATGAGCTAACAAACACCAAGAAATGAATCGTATGGAGCGAGCAGTCATTTTAATATTCCGGGCATACACGTTTTTGCTACAAACTGGGAAATTACACATTCGGTCGGAAGGGGGAGGGTGTCGTGAGATTGGCCCTCCGGCCCTTGATCGCCCTGCGGACACTGTTGTCATCAGTTGGCCAAAGGCGCCGGCCCTGCAAACCAAACATGTGACAAGGCACGCTGCCCAACTGCTGCTTTGACAGATCTGGGATTCAGCGTAAATAGGGAGTTGAAGTGACAAGCGAGTATGCGCCATTGACGGGTTCGTGATCAACTATTGCTTTAGTCAACGGAAGACAGCGTTACTTAAAGTAATGTTACGCTGTTATCAGTGTCTGTTATTCTTCACTGCTCGGGCAGAGTATCTACGCTTTGCCACCGAATCAAATTCACGATTCACCGCTAGAGATTGCTGGGTGCTCGTACAGTAGGTCACAAGGTGTTCACACTTGGTGAGTTCACTAATAACAATGGCGAGGAGGGATACCGTGATGGAAAAATGCGTGATAAGTTATTTCGCCTGGCAAGGAGAAGAGCAAAGGACAAGGAAGGTCGATGTAACAAAAGTCTGCGACGATGGTTACGGAGGCTTGTGAGTTAATAACCGCAACACCAGGGGAGAATCTAGCACCCCGTATAGGAAATGGACAAGAAAAATGGTCAGTAGGAGACGACCCGGAGATACGGAACGGCCAGAAATTGTGATAATTGAGAGTTGACATAGCACGAGACAAGGCGTCGGCAAAACTTGACGGCCAGAATGGCGTAAATGCGTGAGAATGTTCCAGCCCTACTCACACGTGAAGGAATATACTACTAGAATTTCTTACCAAGTTTTGACAGACTGTGGAGTTGCCGTCCTACTGATGTCGCCAAGCCATGGTGGCAGCAAAGCTTTCAAAGAAGCCTGACACGGGAGGGAGCCATTATAACTAAGTATAGCTGCCACATGCTTACCGCCGAGCGCGATGAATTCAATAGAGACTAGAAAAATGGAAGGAGCCGAGTCCTGGGGAGCGCAAGTTGTTGAATATATTAAATTATCTGTCACACATACACGCGCATTTATGCATTCATTATTAATATACACTTATAATGAATGACTACCACAGTTTTGATTATTCACTAATTCCCTTGTAAAATTTATGGTATATTTTGGCGCTGGGAAGAATAATTCACTATTCTTAGCTGACACAGCCACACACAGCATGACTCCTCTAAACTATTTTTTTTTTAAACAAAAACTAATTTCTATTCAATTTTAGGTTAGTTTTATTAAAACATTCACATAAACACCTTAGCCAGTCATCAACATTTAAAATGTACTGCATATACTATAGTTCCGCACATGTAAATGAGCGCTATGGGATATAGTTCACACATCGTCTTTTCAAAATTGGTAATCATCGGGAATCATATTCATGTTTTTATACCACAGAAAAATCAATACACACGCAATAACCTCACTGAAATACAAGAGAACCCTGACGAAACCCGCTTCAGACGTCTTACATCCTTCGCATGACACGTCAACACAATACAACATGACACGTCAAAACAATACAATCTTCCGTAACTGAAAAAAACACGAAAGCAAGTAATCAAATGTCCAACATACACACGATAACCGAGTTTGCATCTATCACAGCTCACTTCTTATTCGCCCCGATATTATGCACACGTATTTTATTTGCACGTATTTTATAGTCCAATTTGATGAAGCTATGGACTCATAATAAAGACGTTTTAAGACTGTATGTGTCATAGTACAGGTTCTACGTGAACGTGTTCCAATATACATGAATAACCCATACACAACGCTAAATAACAAGAATATATATCTTTCAAATTAGTTAGTAAACAATCCATCATTGTTCCCGAATTTAGAGAAGCAAGTTAATTGTGTTGTGCATCTATTCCTTCTCATTTTTTTCCTGCAAAGAACGATTTGATCCTACCATTTATACATGCGTACATTATTATAGAAATCACTGGTAATGTTAGAACATACAAGGTGTGCTGGTGTTAAAACGGATTGATAACAGGTAGAATATGAGCAACTTACGTATGAATAAAAGATTTACTACTAATTTAATCTATCTATACCTTGGTATTTGTTAACGATAAAACAATTGTGATTAGCACACATCATATGCAATATATACGAGATAGATCTGTACTATTAAGTTTCGACCATGCGGTCGAGTTAAAAAAATCTTATATATACGTATTGAGCGATACAAATCTCATACGAATGATATGTTAATACAGCGACCACGCCCCGAAAATAATTGCACCATCGCAGTGCTATCTGACACGCAGTTACGGGTCAGATGCAACAGGTACCAATAAAAATTACTCTTTGAACACACAATCAATCACACAGATGTACACGTGTGCACAAACCGGCGGATACAAGAACACCTGACATACGTACTTACATACGGCGATCACAAAGTACAACAGTGAGCACCCATCCCATTCCTTACGACGACCTAGTCGTTCCTCGGTCATTATCTCCGTCTGACGGCATAGCGAGCGATTAACCAATAATGTATTAGTTAATAACCTAATAAAGCAGCAGGCATATAAAGAATCACAGGCTATACATTACATCAAGTCCATAATACTATTACTATTATTATATTAGATATTATTATGGGGTCTTCATATTATCTGCGGTGTCTGCAGCGGGCGGATTCGCGTCTATCGCTTCTGATGTTACTGAAAACTACACTAGAGCAATATCACAGTTTCTTACAATTTGACATACAAGGATGTACATTCAGTTTATCTACAAAATAATTGTTGGTCAGCATCTGACTGGTAAGAGAGTTTTTCAAAGTACATGCAATTTTAATGATATTGCTATCAGAAATCTATACTACACAATATATGAAAAGAAGTCAAAAATCGCTTAATGAAGTAGCACAAATACATTTCGAATGAATTCAATTCAACGAACCGTTTCTCTCCGTGGAGTAGAAAAACGAGCATAAGAAAAAATACTCAATAAATTCAGAGCGGAAAAATTAAGTAAGATATTGCAAAGGTAAAAACAGAAGCGCTTGCTTCTATATGTCAATAGTTTGTTGAGCTACACTATAAACGAGACAGCCAGATTAGCACTTATATACTAAAGAACATTTCACATATATCCCCTAATCAACGAGTATATTAAAGCGAGTACATCACTTCCATTGAAACTTCTGCACGGCATTTTTATGCCTGTTATGTACAAAATAATGATAACATAAACATAATAATACTTCCCAATTCGCCATTCTTTTCAACTACTTCCAACATGTGATACAGCTGTCACTTACCTTAGGAAAACGTTCTACTGGGTAAGAGATATGGAATATATTTTGTGTTGATTGTACTTTGCAACAAACATTTCTAATTTATGAATTTTAACATGTGACCTACAATCGTGTTAATTGAACGATAATTATATTTATATTAGTATTAATTAGTCACGCTACTTGTCTCTACGCTCTTAACTAAACTCTTCAGGTATGTATCATTCACACTCATAATGTTTATGGAATTATAAATGCAGCTTTCTGCTACAGCAGTCAATAATTATATAAGTAACATCATGATGTTTTTGTTTATCACACAGCAAAACGTAAATACTAGCGACTATATAGCAAAATGTAAATGGGAGCAACTATAAATCACATAAAATAGAATATGCGAATTTCACAAACTCTATACCATATTATAACAGCTAATATATTAATTCACATATCATGGCAAGTGATACCTATATTGATTCTGTAATTACTATACGAGTGCAATTTTTTTTTGATCGAAAAAATATCCATCGACACAGCAAATCTAAACTAATCCATTTACTAGGATGACATCACATTCTTACTGAAAAATATACTAGATTAAGAGCATAGAACCCCTAGTAGTTACACCTAGTTTATATGCTCCTGATAGATTGCCAACAATACAAGCAAATTTAAGCTACACACTACATGCCATAGATGAACTAGACTCGCAACATGCCAGGCTAACCTTGACATAACATTGGCAATTGTTTACAGTTAAGCTATGGTTAAATTATATGCCACGTCCGAAATTTTGTAGTTCAATATTCACTGTCAATGGCTATTTGTTTACAATGTCAGTTGCACCAATACTACAGTGCTGCCCTTAGTGGAGTTGCACTAGTTTTACAGGAGTTTTTAGTCACGTGCAATATACCAACAGTACTCCAGATTTAATTATTTAAATAATTTAAATTAATAAATTAATTTAATAACAAGAATTGCAAAATTAGAAACACACTGCCAGTTAGAAGCTTGTGAAAATGGAATTCAAACGCACAACTTCACCTGATCACTAAAAGAGCAGAAGTCTACCAGACTGGCAGAGTTGCCACCAACGATACAAACAAACAATCAATTTAAAATGATATCCAATGAGTACTGAACTATAAAACAGCATACGTTGCATAATTATTTAGTAAACGGGATTGATTTAACTGTAAATAATTCCTAAATCAACATTAAAGACATTCTTTAAGAATATTAGGCACAGCATAGCATAAACATATAAACACACCACACATGCACACTGCATGAACACACCACCAACTGCAAAGTGCTACTAGCTGCCGTTTCACAACGAAATCGAATTCCCTGCTCAAAAAAATATCACGTAGCAATTAAAAAATCACTGGCCGGTTTTAAGCCAGAGTAATTCACATTAATCACACCATACAATAAGGCAATCTGCCATAACAATTTGTGTGTCAGCAGCTGCATACTTACAACTAATAGCACAGCTACACCCACAAACAGCAGCACAGCTTGCAGGCACGAAACTGATGACAAGTTCACAGGCCCACAGATGTGCAATTCCCTTACGCACAAACACTTAGCCGTTTGTGTCAACGTTCACGCCCTAAATAGCCACGTGGACTTGTTCGTAGAAGTCAAGCTCATCTTCTTCTTCATTTGCTGAGTCCAGATCTTCCTTGTCCAGCTGCAAATATAATATATCTCTGGCCATTAAAGTGGGGTACATTCAAATTAGGCAAGATTGTCAGTACTAGTTGACATTTTACACAGATATACGAGACACATTTTACTGTTTGGCACATTAACATAGAACTTGTTCTCAATATTCATGAAGAATACTAGGAAAATGCTGACAGTTAACCGAAATTAAAAATACTTTGTGTAAGCAACATTTAAAACAATTATTTTTTATGTGTAAATCTAACTGTAGTGTAAAGAGAGTCTTCATGTAAAACATTTAGACTGAAAATAGGGAGACATTTAGGGTTACGATTCCCAAAGCAGGATATACTGCAGTGGATGCATGCTGACATATTATCTCTATTCATAATCCCTGTTTGCTAGAAATTCTCCTCTAAGCGACCTCGTGTAATCACCCTGTCCCATTTACATGTAAATTAGTTTTTAACCAACGCACCTCTCCAAGTTCAGCGCTGTCAAATATGAATTCGATGGCTTTTCGAACAGCCACCATTAGCAGCAGTACAAAAGGGAATGCCAGCGCCGCAACTGATGACTTTACTATCCACAGAAGGGCCATGCAAAGGATCTGGATGATCGTAAACATGTGAATCTTGAATGTTCGAACCTGGATGATAAAAAACACCAAAAACAAATGTTATTCATTATAGTTAAAAATGGGGCTAAATAAACAGTTATCACAACTCAGAACATAACATTATAACCTAGTTCAAATAAATAAAAACGGTATGTCATGAAAATGTACCCATAAAATATTTTCACTATTAAGCAATAAACAAGTGCTAATACGTCAGTCACTGTAGCACGAAGTAAAGTTTTTCATTAAGATATAAAGCTTTACCTTCTTAACATAACCAACATCGGGGAAATGTTTGCCAGGTTTAAACAACATTTTGAATCTGTCAACAAGCTGAATCCCCTGGAGTGAACTAATTCCCATATAGAGGAAGATTCCAAACAGCACAGCCTCTGGTACAGCATTCAACACTGGTCCCATCAAGACACAAACACCTGCACAACAGAAAGTTACATAAGATTCACTTGAACACCACAAAGGTATAGATAACCGATCCCAATTTCGAATTTAATTACTATTCCGCTCAACGATGATGTTATTCATTATGTGATCATTATGTCGTCTGGTTGATTTATCTAGAGTTTACCAGGGATGGAGATGCTAAGTCAAGCAGTGTTTGAACGGCAAAACCTTCATGATTACACCTACCGAGCAGGATGCTGACTACAAAATTCGTCACTCGCTGTTCATGGACGTGAACGACTTTCGGTTTGTCTCCAGGTGCGTGCGTGCGTGACATGACTGTCAGCGAAGACCAGTGAGCAACAGAGCGGACGGTGGCAGCGCACATCCACGGAAGACCGAACGCACCATTAAGAAACGTCAGTATACCGACAATGAACATGTCCATGTGATAACCGGTCCCTTTCTTCAGACATCTGTCCTTTTTGTTAATGATGAGGCTAAGAAATAAACATAAAAATTAATTGAAAAAACAAACGATCGACAGGGCCTCTAGATCAATCTCAGAAAAATATACTGCCCATCAATTGAATAGGCTCTACATAACTTGAGGCCTATCTAATAATTTCACTATAGTTACTATGATAAAACATTAATTGAATCAGACGCCACTTCACCATAACAAATGTTTATAGCATAGAATTATCATGGCTTTTTTCGGTACTTACGCAGAAATCTGGAAATCCATGAAGACGAGAATATACAACATCAATGAGGGAATGCTAGCTGCAAACATCAAGTACCACTCAAAGTGGATATGAATGCCTAGAGGGTTAATTATCCAGCCACGCTTTTCGGGTGCTGTCGGACTGAACCCTTCTGGCACGTAGAGTTTCTGCGTTAAAACATAAAATATATCAAAATTAAGTTGACAACTTTTGACATTATTCATTCCATAAGTTTTTTTCAGAATGTGTATATAACCTATATCAAAATAGTGGCGTTCAGACTTAGTCCCACATCTATATCATATCTGCCTAAATAAACAAGTGCCGCGGAGTGACAGCGCTCATCTAACGTCTACTGCGGTGACTCTGTAGTGGAGTGGTGGGATTCTAGTAAACCCTGTTAGTCCCAAATGTGTTCACATACACACCGAAACAGTGGAATGCACAGGGTTGGTATCAAGAACCTTCTCAAAGGAATGTTCTTTGGGATCGTTATGAAAGTTGCCACGAGATGGCGCGTACGTTTAAGTGTCTTCAGATTAAAGATGGAAGCTCCCATCGTACGTAGTAGCAACAACTATTTGCAAGACAGAATAGGTAAGCACTCATCCATTTACCTACGCAAATCTACAGGCTGCAATAGAGAGCTGCCACCTGTAACCAATTAACGCAGGCAAAAACTACACAGTACCCCCACCACATGCACTGGCAGTGGCATACGTTACATGTAACATACTGACAGTACAGAATGCCATAGAAATTATACGATTTAAGGAGCATAACCCTTCTTCAACCAAATTTAGCTTTTGAAATTTCACTGTGACATTGTAGCCTCATACATCCAGGCATGTATAGATTCTACTAGCAAACCCGGCAGTCAAATTCTTTCTAACAGACAGTAAACAAATCCATGTTTAACCCTCCTCTTGAGGGTCAAAAGGTTATCCGACACTTGCTCTTCGCATGTCAGCAGAAGGTACATTTCATGGTCCTTTCAATAAAGCCATAAAAATGCTAGGTCACCGCTGAAACAAAAAGGTTTTTCAATCGCTCCGTCAGACCATGTCCTCAGAAAATGTCTAAAATCTGCCCTGTGCCCATTGACCTTTGACCTGTGACCTCCAATTTCGGCACAGTGATGGCTTTTCCTACCATGATGCTATACACCGACTATCACGAGCCTAGGTCGAGCCGTTTAGATTTGTGCCGCAATTCTGCATTTCCTCCCTATACCTTAAGTTAAGGAGTGAATGTTCCTTCTTTTACACCTCTTGACCTTTGACCTTTGACCCTCAGCTTCGACATCCCAACTCGTTTTGACGATCCCCCCCGATGTGCCGAATATCGTGACCGTACGTCGAGCGGTTAAGATTTGTGCCCAACTGTTGACGGACGGACGGACGGACGATCATGCAATTCTACAAGCTGCATCTGACTTTGTCAGATGAGCTAAAAATTCTACTTGCATACACACACGCATACACAAATACTTTATTTGTATGACTTATTTTTGTAGACTTATGTTCAAACAGAGCATGCAACGTAAGATTGTGTGATACCTAAAAAACAATTAGAAAACGAACACGTTTCGTGGCGATAAAAAACATCTATGTACAGGACTTCATTATTCTGAATGAGTGAATTAGTGAACACTACATTACCTCAGTGTAAGTTTTAGTGACGACTAGTTCATCAATGGCTGTCATGACAGCAATCGCTATCGGAACACCAAAGTCCCCGAGTGCACGTCGCAGACTCCTTCCTAGAAACTTGGAGTTTCTGAAGTTCTTCAAGTAGTTGGCCAGAAAGAAAGTGCCGAGCATAAACACAGTACTCATCAGTGCTGTGTTAGGCTGGTTCTTGATGGGCTCCTGTGAGAGACGCGAGTTCAGGTCCGTGGCATTATCTGATAATGTCTCATTGTTAACCGCTGTCTCATTAGCAAACATTGTAGCATTATCCAGTGATTCGTCACAATATTCTTCCAGCGACAACAGCGGATGGTCACTGTAGATCTGGAATAGAAACACACAACACCAATTACAAGGCAACCACACAGTTAGTTCACTCAGTAACTCACAGAAATTTTTGGAAAAGAAAAAATCTGTCGCTCATTCAGTCAATCAGTAGTTAGCATTACTAGCTTGTACATACTACATCTAGCATCTACGTCTGGCATTTACACTTCTTTTGTTATTGAACAAGACACTTTATCAGCATTTATTGTGTACAACAAGGAGCATAGCAGGTATCACATTCAAGCCAAAAATTAATAATAAACATGCCTAACCACACTCTCCAACAGAAACTTGTACGGTGATCAATACCAAAAAAGATTATGTGTATAAATGAATAACCTTGTTACCTACTTCGTTTTGAATATGAATTTTTTAAACTACATCTTTAAATTAAAAAAAAAAAAACATCTTAAAATACCAGACAGATTTTAGCATACATGGTACAGCTTCTCAAAGCATCCGAAGATGAAGATAAACGAGATGAGGGTGGCGAAGATCTCCTCGGTGAAACGAGTGAAGTAGCGCACGAGCACGCTGCCGTCGAATGCGACGATCAACATCGTCCATATCAGCACCCAGACGCCGATCCACCAGCGCATCACAAGGAATTCATAGCCCTGACTCTCGCAGAACTGCAAACATAACTCCTAGTCGTGAGTCTCACAGAACTTCAAACATAACTCCTAGCCGTGAGTCTCGCAGAACTTCAAACATAACTCCTAGCCGTCGAGTCTCACAGAACTTCAAACATAACTCCTAGCCGTGAGTCTCACAGAACTTCAAATATAACTCCTAGCCGTTGAGTCTCATAGAACTTCAAACATAACTCCTAGCCGTTGAGTCTCACAGAACTTCAAACATAACTCCTAACTGTTGAGTCTCACAGAACTTCAAACATAACTCCTAGCCGTTGAGTCTCACAGAACTTCAAACATAACTCCTAGCCGTTGAGTCTCACAGAACTTCAAACATAACTCCTAGCCGTGAGTCTCACAGAACTGCAAACATAACTCACAGCCACGGAGTATTGTAATTATAACTCATATCCATTGATTCTCACAGAACTGCAAACATAACTCATGGCCCTGAATCTCACATGGCTGTAATTAAGACTGATAATCGAATCTAGCTCGTTATTGCTGTTCATGCTCACACTGATCTTCTAGAACGAATCGAGTACAAGGGACATGACTAAGTCTCTAGTTAAATCGTTACTGGATCAAAACACCACATATCATACTATATTAATTTGCACAAATTTCAGTTGGGAATAGCATGGCCTTTCCATGCAACCGAGTACATTCTTGACTACTATAGCATGGCAGCTGTATTACCATGTGCTTATACAGTACGATGTTCAAAAGCAATATTTTCTCATGACTCAGACTAGGTTAAACCATGGAGATTTAACTAATCAAATCATGCTTTAATTATACTTACACTAAATAAGCTGTATTCAAAAACCAGAATTGGACCTGTAGCACCAAGTATGAGCAGTGGTTGACAACTAAATATACTATATATAAACCCATCAAGGGCTGAAGCTGCAAGCATCTCTGACACTCCCATCCACTGGTCTGTCCGGTCATCTAAATCAATCAGAACATACGTTGCAATATTATTAATATACTTTACAAAATATAGATCTAGGTTCACTCATGATACAATTTGATGATATAACTACTTCATATTAAACACAAAATATATTTCATGATATAATTACTTTAAAAGTGACATATTAATAGCTGTTATTATAATTAAATATTACTATATAAGGAAAAAAAGTACATATATAGAATCAAGAGCATATAAAGAAGGAGAGCGTACAACGGTAATATGCTGAAACCATGTTGCAGTATTAGTCGAATTAATAAACTTTCCCCGTTTTATTTTTGACGATTCGATTTATTTCAAACACTGACTAGACATTAGTCAGTACTGCGACCCACTCTCGAAGTGTGGCCAGTATGTTGCTTCCGGTCGCCGCTGTGTAGCGCTGACTCGATACATTATGACTACAGCGTTACTACATCCAGCGTAAGGGGCAGGTCATCACCATGGCGATAAATAATAAGACGTTTTTGTGGAGTAATGGCTGCGTCAATGACTGGAAATGCGAGAAAAGATAGTAAAAGGAAAATAAATTTCATTGTCAATAAATGACGGAAACACGCGAGGTTTCCCGAAACTATCGCCAAAACGCGAGTCGGTCGCAGTACTGACTAATGTCTAGTCGGTGTTCGGCGAAAATACCAGATTTTCACCGCTCATTATCTTAGCGTAGGGGCATCGTAGGGACATGCAGTTTGTTTTATATGAACAAGGTAGGACAGCTGATCAATAATACTGCAGCAAAGAATCGTCAAAATAAAACGGGAAAAGTTTATTAATTCGACTAATACTGCAACATGGTTACAGCATTTTACCGTTGTACGCTCTCCTTCTTTATATGCTCTTGATAGAATGTTAGTAATCATAACGATTTAAAATTATAATGGATAACATGCTGATAAGCCTATCTATACAGCTACATATTAGCAAACATGCTAGAAAGATTCGTGCACACCATGCCCATTGTTAAGATGTAATTAACCCATTCAGATTCAGAGCTATCCAATGTATATTACCGCAAAATATAAAATTCACTCGAAAATTAAACGAGGTATGTGAACAAAGAACCTACTCATGACACCTCCAAATGTAATCGCAGGAGATAAACAAGCGAAGAAGATGAAAATACACGTCGCCAGGCACTGCATGTTGAGTGCATCGAGCAAATCACCCTTGTACATTGGGTAGCGATGCTTGATGTCGTTGATCACACCACCAAACAGGCGACCGGTGCGTTGAAGTGCATCTGATGGCTCAGGTTTATCTGCAGCTGAAAATATCGACATCGAGTTGCCGACGATACAAGTGGGGAACATTTCCTGTACTTATGCCATAGACTCATAGAGACTACCATAGAATCATCGTTCCTAATGACTTTAATCACACTGACAACATGGCGATTAAAAGAAAGACACAACTGTTGCAATATCACATATATATATGCACACACACACACACACGCATATATATATATATTCCATATAAATATGAAGCACGCAGTAATACATTTTGACATCTACTCATTGCACGTATTTTGTTCATCATTCAATCATCAGTCTAAACTTACCTATGTAGTATATATTATGTATAGCAAGAACACATACAAAGCTGATAATGACAGTTTATTTTCTTATTACCTCCCTGTTCCTTTGCCGAAGGGTGGTGTCTGCGTTCCCTCTTTCTTGCTGCCTGCTTGACCATCTGTTCTTTCTGCATTTCAGCAATGCCCAGCAAAGTTTTCTTATCCCATTCGCCAGGTGGTAGCACAGTACTCGTGTCAAGAAACTCATTGATGGCTACCAGTATATCTTTCCGGTCATCTGCTTGATAAGCCACTGTATGGAAAGTCTGCATAACAGAATAATTTTACATGACAATTACATTTACAGCGCCTCATAGCTTTTCAAAGAAGCAATCATGATTGTAGACAACGACTGTAAAAGCCTAACAGGTAAAGACACTTTAATGGAGATTTACTCACTTTGTTGGACATAAGGGTGGCAATGGATCGACCGACTTCATGGTAATCCAGCCCACCTTTTACCGGACCAAGCAGAACGAAGATAAACCTTGTGGGGATGTCAATCTCTGTTAGCTGAGGGATGACTGTCCCTATAAATATGCAACACAACTTTCAGAAATGCAGACTGCATGAGCTACAATCCCAGGAATGTCAGGGTATAGAACAAAAAAACAATTAAATGATCACACACTACATGAACATAATTTGGTCATATAATCAAGCTATACTTGGTATACAGAACTTCAGAATAATTTAAATGATATTAAAGGGATACTTTCCTCAAGAATTTGAGAGTATATTATGATAGTAGATTCATAAATAATAGCATATACCTACAAATTTCTATAATTAAGCATTCACGTTTGTCATAAAACAATATTGAATTTTGAAATCTTCATTTTTGGGCGCTGACTTGACATCCGCAATCAAGCTGCCACCCTGAAAAAGTTGTGTGCAATTCCTTTTGTACGTTACAGACTGAGGGCTAATCACAAAAGTGCAATTATATTCATACTTAATGCTATTTAACCGAACGATATTCATTTTAGGACAAATTCATCTATATTATAACTGAAACTAAGTGTCGTTTATAAGATATTGCAATCCTATTGCTCTTAAATTAATAAATAAGAAACACCCTCGGTCTGTAGCCTGCAGCCGAAACGTTGCTTTGCGCAACTTTCCCAGTAGATGCGCTGCCAGTGGTGCCACCGTCGTTGTAAGCAACGGAATAGCCATCAGTTTTAAAACATTAAAAAAAATATTTCTAATAAATATTGAACCATAATTTTCACCTATCTGAAAATATCTGAAGAACCTAGAGTAATGTATCCCTTTAAATGAACAAACCTAATTCCTGAATACGTAGATATAGGCAGGCAGACAGACAGACAGACAGTAGACAGACAGACAGACAGGCAGACAGACACACAGTCAGCCAGCCAGACAGACAGACAGACAGCCAGCCAGCCAGCCAGCCAGCCAGCCAGCCAGCCAGCCAGCCAGACAGACAGCCAGTCAGACACACAGACACACAGAGCTTTACATACAATAGGTGTATTAATTTGTATATAAATTTTGGAAAAAAGTATAGTACATTATAACATCAGACAATATAAATAACGGTATATAATATTTCACAAAGGCAAATAAGGATATTTACAAGCAAGGTTTTACAGTACTAGTGCCTTCAACAAATTTATAATGTATAATTAATAAATAATAATAAAGTATGTAATTAATTGTTGACAAATATAATTTAATATACCTTCTGCTAACCGCACAAAAGCGATTGTAGGTTTATCAAGGAAATCTACAGCACCAACGAGAATGGCAGATGCCTCAGCACCCTCTGGTATTTTTCGCCTTAGCTCAGCTATCTGTTTACTGTTAGCTGCTTCCTGCTCAGTCTCTCCAAGTTTGGGTGAAGAAGCTGAATGAACAAGGTCCTTTTCTACCAGCTAAAAAAATAATTAAACATTACTTACGTACAAAATTCTAAGAAGAAATATAGGACAAAAATATACTATGCAAAATCATGCGCACCATCACAAAATTCATGGTGCTAAATCAGGTCCGTGATGTAATGCAGAGAATGTAAGATTAATAAGTAAAGATGCAAATAGCTAGTAATAGTCAATTATACATAGAATAAGAAATAGTGGAGATGGAAGTCTTTGTCTAAACGACATTCGTGGGCACTGCGACACGCCTATGACGTGGTAGCCAATGAGAGAGACAGAGGCGCTTTATTGGTCAAGGCTTTGTCTACCGCTGACCACGGATACGGGACGGGCCAGCCAATGAGAGCGGCCGAGGTGCCCCGCGTGACCAGACCGTAAGACAATGGAGGGGACGCGCGTATTTAAAAGAGAGACGCCTTTGTGCGCGACCTGCTCAGTCTCTGCCTCTCGCTTCTGATAGGACCAGACGTATAGTATCTTGCGTGTGTGAGCATCTTATCCGATAGAATCGTAAGTTACGTTTCGTGCCCTGGTTACCTATGTACACGTAATCTGCCTTGTTCATGGGCGTATACGTTAGTTTAAGTTATTGTTATTAAAGATGTGATTGTACTCTAAATACGTAACTCACTCTTGAATCATTCATATACGCATATGATAGACGTTTAGTAACAAGCATATACGCGTACCATTATACGATTACGATAGTACAGTGATTTAGAAGACCCTTTTTTTTTAGATATTTTTCACCTCAAAATAATAACCAATAAAATGCCTACAATAACTTATACACAAACAGTTAATAAAACAATGGAATAAATATTTAATGGGTAATGAGTAAAAAGAATAAAATAGCATGTACGTCATGGAACTCATTGATACCTTTTCCTGGTTTTGCTCTATGTCAACTGCCACTGAATTCTCTTTCTCTTTATAAGCTGAATGGGTATCTCCATGATGAATGTACTTGTCCAGCATAGACCCTATTGATGCCCTGTGGACAAGTATATAAATATCTATCAACCTCTAGTGTGATAATGAACAATATTTGTAAACGAAACAGATGGTAGACTGGCATCATTGATGATCTCACTCCAGTGACCGCTTCCAAGGCAGAACAAGTCACAACCTTTCTTGAATTGACTAAATAGTTTTTAAAGAAAAGAGAAAAAAGAGAAAGAGGACTTCATAAAAAAACTATATGGTTACACGATTAAAAGGAGAACACTAATGTAGCGTTCAGCATCTTTCTTTGTTAATACAGGCTTTGATTTTCCTACATTAATTGTTTATTTAAGTAATAAGAACTTGATAATTACTTGACCGTGACATACACTCATGAGTAGAATGATGAAGTTTTGCTTATTCGGAATTTTTAAAGTTATTACTTCAAAGCAATCACATTAACCTTAATATCAAGATTATCCTATCATAGCAAAGATATATTGCTGAAAGTGTAATATGGAAGCAAAACAAGCATTTAAGATTGACAGTTTATCCTACAGGAGAAATAAACAACAATAAAATTACATTTACTAAGCACAGTACACTCGTTTCTATTACTTAAATACAGTATGCAATGTGTCGATTTATATCATTGTTACGAGTGATGTCAGCTAGAGCTAGATTTTTCAAACTGCCAGGAGTTAGATGAGTTAAGAGTTATCTTTAGAAATGATAACTATCACACTATACATTATACATCAAGAGTACATAATAGGAGATATATCATCTCCTATTGTGTACTCTTGTTACATGTAACAGCAATATGAATAAATTAGCACTGAAGTTAATGGTGCATCCTTTTTATTGCTGTTTATGATTTCATACATCTGTATATAATAATTGGCTGAAAAGGGTAGTACAAAGAAAGGGGAATGCATGACTACTGTCTAAGTTGTTTTCAAAACGGTTTACTAAAAAAGTGGTGACTCAAAAGCTGCATACAAAAAACGTAAGCTAAAAGCAGTGCTTACGCAAGCATTCCATGCTGTACCTTCTCTGTTTAAATCACACATCTGTTAGGGTCAAACCAATTTCTGCCTGAACATACACGTGTATTTATGTTCGTGAATTAAGATTATGCATGCATACCATACAAACAATGTTATTCCTGTTTTAATTATGTTTCATCAACTTTTGATTTTGAAAGTCATTGTGAAACTGTAAAGCCGTTCACATTATTTCACAGACAGTTTTTAATCAACAGTATTTTAACATAGACCTGTAGATGTCATGCCGCATTCAACGAAGTTAGAAAATCAACAGGTGACAATTAAACTAGTTTCACGTGCTCGTATACTGCTAAATTTAGACTGGATATTATCAGGAGTGAATAATAAAATATTCTAAGAATCTATTATTATTCAGTCCTGATATAATTCTACCGTGTCTATATATTTCACACATTAACAACAGCAGCTTACCCTCTTGGCAGGAACTCGTAATGGCCGCTATGCAAAACGTCAAAAGTGACAATATACTTATTTGAAAATGGCATGTGGCCAAGAAGCGATTGGCAAGGTCAAACATATAATATTTAATAATATAAAACCTCAAGTAAGAAATAGGCAATGGTAAGTTAAAGAGAAAAAAACCACAGGCAAGACCAAAATCAGCACTTCTTTACGCAACTGATTTGACTGAAACCAGTCACAATGATTGGATTCTTGGAATATATCCTCTGGATTCTGAAGTGAAATACTTATTTAGTATGACCTAAATAATCTCTAGTGACCTAAATTGCCCTCTATGTAATACCTGTATTTGTGTTGTAGATTATAAAAACCATTTCACCCCAATCATATACCTGGCAGGCCTAGCATGTTATCTGCTAACACTCTAAAATCACTCTTTTGAGGTCTTTCATCTTATGCTACATCAAGATATTGTTATCAGATAGTTTATCTCATGAATCAATAGACTCTCTTGTAAGAGTGACATATAATTAAACTCACTTCCTTCCATCCAAAGACGTGAGATTCTTCATAGAGAGATTTTTCCGAATAAACCCAGCTTCATTCAAACGTCTGCAACATACAGAAATACATGTATTATATTTAAACTTACACACATGTATTATACTAGCAAAATGTAACAAATATATTATATATCATATTATAGTGCCCATAAAAAATTTACCTAAATGTACCATTTCAGGTTTCACTTAGCAACATATGATTAGCACGCCAAGGCCAACTCACTTGTGTTTTAGCAAGAGTGCCTTCAATACAGCACCTCGGTCTTCTTCTCGGATCTGGTCCGTGGTGGACATGTTGTCTACCACACGTGTGGCCACACCACTAAGTGTAGTCTCCTCAAGGTCAAGAAGCACAGTTCCTATTGAACAAACATCAGCACAACTGACCATTGAAGCTGCACCTCCCATTGGTGAAATAATATGATCGGGATGGCAATGGCATTTTACGGCACCAAAACAAAAGCGCTTGATTTTATCGCAGAGACTGTACCTAGCTCAAGGCACTTCCTAAGCTCCAGCAGACTGTGGAAGGACAGCGAGGGAACGTGCGGCTTGCCCCAACGGTCGGCCGCCTCCTGGATATCTTCCTCAAACTTGATCCAACGTGCCGTCTCCTTCCACGTAGTTTCATTGTCCTCCCCAACTATTAGCTCATCGAGTTCAACGAAAACCTGCAATGAACACTCTATGATACAACACGACATGGCACAAAATCCAGAAAGAGTGGCGAGCGAGTGCTCTGTGTAATCGTGGCTAACCGACATGCAGTTTTAAGCAAGCAAGCTTATGTTACCTCGTGTGGTGAGTGGTCGTACTTCTTCTTGGTGTAGACGGGGACAATTGTTTCATCCTTGCCCACACCCTCACCTCTTGCTGGGTGGATAATAGATGCTACTGAGGTCTTAGCTTTGATCTTGCGTCGCCGTAGCCCTCTCACGACTTCGTACCTGTGCGCTACTGTACATGGTGAAGGAAAAAAGAGAAATTAAGCTGTTGCATACCATATGTGTACATATCACGGTATATCAGTGTACATGTGTAGAACTTAATTAGATCTATGTGTGGCATGTGTGGAACCTAGACGTACCTATGTGGAATCTAGCTTTACACGTGCAGAACCTAGATCACTATGAGTGGACCCTATATCTACACATGGAACCTAGATGGAATCTTTGGACCCTAACTATACACGTGTGTAACTTCGTCCTACGCTTGTGGAACCTAGATCTACAGGTGTGAGGCCTGAACCTACACGTGTAGAATATCTCATATACACTTACTGTCATCATCCTCATCGGTTTCCTCGGCATCTCCTGCGAACATGCGAGCAGCCATGCTTTCCGAACGAAACATCACCTCACTGCCTCTGCACCTCCTCTGTTCCAAGCTTACTGCATTATCCGTCTTGCTGTGACGTCGTCCCTTGCTAGAGAGGTGATATATTATGCACTGGTCACAATAATTTGGTAGAGTAAAAATGATCAGAGATGAGGTCGATGTACAATAAAGAATACTACAAGTTTCTCAGGAAACCATGTCTTCTCCACTGCAGCTAATTTACAGAGACAATCTCTTTTCTAACGACAGCATTATACGTGCCACATACCTATGATCATACACAGGTTGTGTTGATCCATCACCCACTGCGTCAGGGATATCCTCCTGACTCTCTACACCTATACACAGAGGAATAAAAAACAGCAAAACCTTACTGTTTCATGAGAAAAAAGTTCACTTCTGTATTAACTACTGCTGTTATATTTAACAGAAAACATTTCCACGAAGATAAAGTATATTCATTTATGTATAAAGGCTAGGGATGTCTATATACCATCCAAAATTATCTACTAACATAATTTTTGCAACGAACATTCCTGCTTATTTTAGGATTGTATTAGGTAATGCACAATAGTGGACATTTTATCCCTAAAAAATAAGTGACATAAACTTAATGTTTTAAATTAAAATAAATGACAATTGAAATTTTAAAAACACGTTTCATACCAAGGCTAAAGCAGACTTGTCCTTGATCCGTAGACTGCCTTCGATTTGTTTTCGAATCATCAAATGAAGCTGAAAGTAACCATTTCATTTCAGAAAATTATTATGCAGACACTCTAACAAGAATAACCAATGCACTAGCTGTACAGTAAAAATTCTATATAAACAATGATTATGATCAAACAGAAACTAAAATAAGGAATTGTTGTGGACAAAAATGTAGAAAGTTAACTAACTCGCTGGGCCAGCTTTACTTGGGGAGTTTAGGGATTTGAGATTCTTTTGTGACATCTCTCTACTCAGAGTACATGGGAAGATTCCTAGACACATGACGCCCAATATGAGATTATGTTAATGCTAGGCGAAGGTGGACTCAGTATAGCTAAAGAGGAGAGGTCACAGAGACTAAAAAGGAAATACAACTAGTGGCACAAATGATATAAAAGGCAATTTGTATTTTCCACTTATCACTTTCTTCAAGAGGTGTCCATCATGGAATTGTATATTTTTCCACAATAGCTTATAGCCAATAACACAAACCACATACAATACTATAAGTGAACGTTTAATTTAAATTAAATGTATTATTTATATGGGGTTTACTGTGATATGCTAAAAACTATTTGCAATAATTACACGGAAAGACATCTTTAATATGTGGCTAGTATTTTCATACCAAAGCTTACTTTTACACCATACAGATGGAGCACGGTTGTATACACCTAACATACTGCTAAACACGTGTTGTCAACCTAATCAAACTCAATGTGAAATGAAGCCGATATGTTAACTGTTTAGGTTTTTTTAAATGATATATGCTCACCTGTGGACGGGCTTAATGGCATCCCAACAGCCTCCTTAGAACCACGGACCTAGAAACATTATTAAAAGTATATATACAGTTGCATTGTTCATTGAATCTAATGAACAATGAATATGCATCTATGCAATATGTGCACGATATATGCCAAATTCCAAGACTAAACAAAATGTTAACCCCAACACAATGACATGCTCTTCTCTAGAATTGCTAAAATATATTTTTTTTTAACTGGATATAGACAGGATATATTTTGAAAAAAGGGCATTTCAGTTGTTCTCGATCAAACGCCGTGATATATAATTTTAATGTATATGACAGACTTCTTAGTAGCCAGGAGGCCAGCAACTAAGATAGTCAAAGCTACTCAACCTTCCAATGTGTGACTTACTTCATAGTGGTGTAAAAAATCACTACTATAGCAATTTTTCTACTAGGTTAAAGTGATTACGTCACCGTAAATAGTAAAAGTAAAATTCTGTAAGTAAGTATAGTAAGTAACAGTAAGTAATTCTGTTCACTTTTTATGGTTAAATTCCTGCATTATACTTCCTACTTTACTATATTGTTCGATGTAAACATACACTCGTGACTCATACATAGCCTATAGCAAGCAATTAATGTCAGGATAATAATATCAAATCTTCCAGGTTTTTTGGATTTTTAACTAGCTGAGAAACAATCTTATCATGTAAGAATTTGACGATACATTTAGTCCCATTAGTATTTAGTTTTAATGTAAAAAAATGGCAACAAAAATTTTAAAAATATACACCATAGAAAATTTGTGACGTAGTCAATTTAAGCACCAGTTTCCGAGAATTCATGATTCTGATCTGTATTTTCGTATCTTACTTTCATGATCTCAAAACCCCCTATGACTGCTTGGCTTAGCCAAGACTTGTTATGTCACTCTGCTGCCTACTTTTTTGTCTTCTACTCTAAATGTGGTTGAAAAGCCTGCGTAAATGTGGTTCACAGCCAATGATAATTAGTGAAACAAGGCACAACGGTACTGTGACCACTTTATCCTACTTAACGGGAAGCCATGCAGAGCATTGTACAGTGTTAGATTAAAGGGAAAATTAATGTGTATAGCAATACACTTCACATGCATCTGGGTTCTTGAATTATGAATTTTTCCTTTGACATTTATACTTTAACACAATCAATATGTTGTTGGCTCTGCAGACCATGGATAGATTCTGTGCAATAAACAATCAGCAGATCTGAGTGTGGGTATGACACTATGTGCGAGTGCCTACCAATGATAGTTGACCAGCTGCACACACAAGTGTTCTTTTTCTTCACGCTAGTCTATGCTGCTGTACTACACTATACCGCCAACACATCGGTTTGTTGTTCCACACAGCTGTCGTCACACTACACGTTGTCAGGCATGACGGTCTCACACAGTTAGCGCCTACCTCGTTGCCATGATCCTCAGGGCCAGAAAACAAAGGCTTCATCTCCTCTACGTCGTCAGCTCCCAACTTCGCATCGCCGCCCAGATAGTACTGCGCGGGCTTCTCGCTGCCGGTGCTCGAGCCCCTGCGCACAGCACCACGCGTCTTCGCGGGGAAGGCCAGCGGCGTGTCGCTGCCCGTGGACAAGACTCCCTCCGGGGATGCGGTCGTCACATCCTCACTGTCATCATGGCTAGAGAAGCTGTAAGCTTGTGGCATTTGAGGGTCAGAGACCTGCCCTGTCTGGCGTTTTCTACTATCACCAGCACTGTCCGGCTCTTGGGCTCCTCCAACTCTGTCAGTCTCGTCGACTGCCTGAAAGCGACGTTCAATATTAGGCAATACTAGCAACTAATTTTAATCTCTTTAGTTGATAATTTGTCAAGTGGCAGGGCAACAAGTCAAATCGATCGTCACGCTGTTCAGTGGATTACTAACCAGAGGTGGGTTGGTTTAGCTAGTGATAGATTAATCAGTACCAGCACCTGGGTGTCGTCATCGTCAGCCTTCTCGCCAGGCTTGTGCTTCTTGCTGCCCTTGTGCTTGTGACGGTGATGGTGAGTCTTTAATGTCTTCATCGGCTGATGCATGTGCGGGTATCCGTGCGTATCCACCCTATGGGCTTAATGTGACGACAGCAATGAGAAGCGCAAGATTTAGTCAAAGATAGAAAATTTTGTTATCACTACACTATCATACATGTTGCTCAATATGGTGTAATCTATTTAGGCTTACTTTTGTAGTCTTCCTCCCCATAGTGATGGCTGGATTCTGGAACAGCAGCGCTATTCCTGTCCAGTACATCAAACCTCTCAGCCGGTACGAACATCTTTGCCATGTCCTCATCCGTCGCATCGAATGATTGTGCGGGTGACGGCGAAATGTCATCGTCATACACGATCTGTCGGTGAAATGTGACCTCTGATGTTTGAATCATAGAAAGTAATCTGCATGGTTTGTTCATGGCATTCCGCTATATAACCTAACATGTAAGCCAAACTACGCAAATGCTACAAGAGAGCCGATTCACTCACGAATAGGAAGCATAATATATGATTGTGAGGAGAAAGATCATTTTGAGGACAAAATAAGCAATGATGATATTCTGATGAAATACAGCTACTTTGAAGTGCTATTAAATGTAAATATAGAAAATTTCATATTGCCAATATAGATTAAAAAAAACTAGCCAAGTGTCATGCAGAGTACTTATAAGTAAAACCAAAACTGAACAACCACTGCAAAAAACTAGCAACTTATAACTAATAAATACATAAAAAATCAGATTGACAATCGACATTTCAAATAAGTTATGATTTAAAGTTAACTTCTTGTAGCTATCTTCAGGGTTCTCCCATAGTCATTGATGCATATCGGGTCCGACATGCCTTTAAAGCTGAAGCTAAAGTGAGACATCCCATAATTCCTCTGACCTTCTTAAATTCCCTAATTGACAATTTACTTTTGACAATCCCAACACAGTCATGCTATGTTTTCACAGATTGATATGTACATGTCCAATAGTTTACCTGTGTATTGGGGCCCCTTATGAAACCCGTAATGGACACCAATTAGTACACCCCCATCCCGGGTCCTCCCCCGTCCATCTATAAACGATAAGCTTTCGTATATTTCGGAGGAGAACCGTGTAATATAATACTGTTTAGGAAACACAATCAAAACACAATAAACTAACATGTTTTTCCATTAAGCATTTTATTTTATTTGCAGATGAAAAAAATCGATTTCCTTATTCCTATAGATGACATCATTTGGTTTAGTATTTTAAAAGGATGGATATTTCTATTTTATAAGCAAATATGGAAGGAAATTAGAAAATTTCATGCTTCCATCCCTCTGACATACACACACGCACGCACGCACGCACGCTCAACACCGACACACACGCACGCACGCACGCACGCACGCACGCACGCACGCACACACTCAACACACCGACACACACACGCACGCACGCACGCACGCACGCACGCACGCACGCACGCACGCACACACACACACACACACACACACAAAGAATAAAAGACCTTTTAATATTTTCAGTAACAAATTGTGAAGCATGTAGTTATTTAAAAAAAATTTGTGCTAAATGGCAGTTACAGAGAGAACGCAAGTTTAATGCACCTTTAATTCGGACATACTTAAGAAAATACCCGTTGAAGTTCTACCAGATGGTGCAGTCATGTATTATAAACGTTTAGTTTAATGCAGATGTTGACACTTCATCTTATTATACATCATGTGTGCATATTTATACAAGCTCCACGAATATCTTTATTATTTTTTTCTGTTAAGCTCTATCGGCATAATTAAATGACAAGAGGGTGTCAAAACGTTGTAAAATCGATTAAAGATTAACTTGAATGCAAAATGAGGGTTGTTTCATGAGTGATGTGAGTGACGGTGCTGGCAAACACCGATGTGCAACTCTTGGAATACCAAAATCCCATTAACTTTAATCGGATCTTGATGATATATATGAGTACTGCATCGCATGATATATACAGTCACGGTACCCACCTCCACCGGTTTCTCTGAAACATGAGCCTATCTTGGCATGTAATACCTTGCACTGCACTGGCAGATATTAATTGTTAGGTTTTATGAGTTGACATACTCAGGAAGCTCTGGATGATGGGAAATTTGATAAGATAAGTGTCTAGGGACCATTTAGTTCAGGTAGGTTTACACGTACCTATATTCCGGTGATAGCAGGACCTGATACCGGATTTCAAGGGAAGAAATGGTTTATCTTTAATAGTTTATTATATTTTTTATAATTTTTTCAATTTTTTCACAAATAAAATTTCCCTACAACAAAATTGTACACTGTAGGAGTCGCTGCGTTTTTAACTCACTTCTATTACGTCCGTTCGTGACTCCGTATTTACTTGATGAAGGGGCAATTGTTGTGTAAAATTCTATATTCGGCGTATCGCGTGTCGTGTGCGTGCGTGCATGTGTGTACGCATGTGTGTGCGTGCGACCGTGCGTGTGTGTATATGCGTGTGTGTATGCGTGTGTGTGTATGCGTGTGGGGGGGACGGGGTGGCTGTAATCTAATATCAGGAGCGTATAATGACAAATATATATTTGTCATTATACGCTCCTGCTAATATGTATGTGCGAGTGCGCGAGCACGCGTAAACATTTGCACCAACATTACATCAGGAGTGTATAATATTATCAGAAGTAGATAATAGGGAACTTCTGATATTATAGATATCTATATTATATACTCCTGATTATATCAATAAGTATTCCAGAGCAAGCAGTTCTTTTGGTCCACACGTTTTCTGAAGATACTCTCCCACGCTAACCACGTCTTCTCTCACCAATACTGGCTACCCTCTCTACTCTCTTACACACTGTCCAACGCAGTCTACGTAGTTACTGCTCACATAATGTCCACGTCCTCTCTTACCAGCGCTGCCTACGTAGTCACTGCTTCTCTCTCTAAGCTCGCATAATGTCCACGTCCTCTCTTACCCACACTGTCTACATAGTCACTGCTTCTCTCTCTCTAAGCTCACATAATGTCCACGTCCTCTCTTACCCACACTGTCTACATAGTCACTGCTTCTCTTTATACTAGCTCACATCAGTGTCCACGTTTCTCTCTTACCCACACTGTCTACGTAGTTACTGCTTCTCTCTCTAAGCTCACATAATGTCCACGTCCTCTCTTACCCACACTGTCTACATAGTCACTGCTTCTCTCTCTAAGCTCACATAATGTCCACGTCCTCTCTTACCAGCGCTGTCTACATAGTCACTGCCTTCCTCTCTAAGCCTCACATAATGTCCACGTCCTCTCTTACCAGCGCAGTCTACATAGTCACTGCTTCTGTCTCTAAGCTCACATAATGTCCACGTCCTCTCTTACCAGCGCAGTCTACATAGTCACTGCTTCTCTCTCTAAGCTCGCATAGTGTCCACGTCCTCTCTTACCCACACTGTCTACATAGTCACTGCTTCTCTCTATCTAAGCTCACATAGTGACCACGCCCTCTCTTACCCACACTGTCTACATAGTCACTGCTTCTCTCTATCTAAGCTCACATAGTGTCCACGTCCTCTCTTACCAACACTGTCTACATAGTCACTGCTTCTCTCTATCTAAGCTCAGATAGTGTCCACGTCCTCTCTTACCCACACTGTCTACATAGTCACTGCTTCTCTCTATCTAAGCTCACATAGTGTCCACGTCCTCTCTTACCCACACTGTCTACATAGTCACTGCTTCTCTATCTAAGCTCACATAAGTGTCCCGCCCTCTCTTACCCACACTGTGTCTACATATAGTCACTGCTTCTCTCTCTAAGCTCGCATAGTGTCCACGTCCTCTCTTACCCACACTGTCTACATAGTCACTGCTTCTCTCTATCTAAGCTCACATAAGTGTCCACGTCCTCTCTTTACCCACACTGTCTACATAGTCACTGCTTCTCTCTATCTAAGCTCAGCATAGTAATCCACGCTCCTCTCTTACCCACACTGGTCTACATAGTCACTGCCTTCTCTCTACTAAGCTCGCATAGTGTCCACGTCCTCTCTTACCCAACCTGTCTACATAGTCACTGCTTCTCTCTATCTAAGCCACATAGTGTCCACGTCCTCTCTTACCCACACTGTCTACATAGTCACTGCTTCTCTCTATCTAAGCTCACATAGTGTCCACGTCCTCTCTTACCCATACTGTCTACATAGTTACTGCTTCTCTCTCTAAGCTCACATAGTGTCCACGTCCTCTCTTACCCACACTGTCTACATAGTCACTGCTTCTCTCTATCTAAGCTCACATAATGCTCCACGTCCTCCTCTTACCATACTGTCTACATAGTTACTGCTTCTCTCTCTTAAGCTCACATAGTGTCCACGTCCTCTCTTACCCACACTGGTGTCTACATGAGTCACTGCTTCTCTCCTATCTAAGCTCACATAATGTCCACGTCCTCTCTTAGCCACACTGTCTACATACTCTACTGCTTCTCTCTATCTAAGCTCGCATAGTGTCCACGTCCTCTCTTACCCACACTGTCTACATAGTCACTGCTTCTCTCTCTAATGGCCCTGTCACACATTGACGCATTTGACAGCGTATGCCGGACGTATCAAATTTCTCTAAAACGCTGCATACGCTGAACTTCGATGTGTTTTCTTTCGAATTTTGCGGCGTATACATTACCGTATTCATAACGCAGTTGCGACGTATACTTAGCGTAATGTAGTAACGTATATGGAACGTCGATAACTTATTAAGATAACTTATACGAACGAATGCTTAGCGTGTTGCCGGCGTTTCACACTTATGCCCAACGATAGTCTCACTTGTGCATAGCGCGCCGCAGCGTATCCGCCGACGATCACTGTGTCGTAGCCTATAAAAAGGCTGCCCTCCGACGATTCAAATCATACACGCACTAGACATCACAGGTACAACATCACCGTCGCAAGTATCAACATGCCAATAACATTTTTATATACATTCCCCTAAACGGCTGCCAATACGCCATTATGACGCGGTAGCCTGTAAGTTACGAAACACGATTCAGTAAGTTCTGTGGTCGTCCGAACATGCTCGAAATACGTCTACATACGTCAAATGCGTTTGGAGATAAGTTGTATTACCATAGAGTTTCAAAAAGACGGTTATCATCAAAGTTAAAATAAGTTTTGCGTACGGCCAGACATATCTCGACGTATTTTGCCTTATGAGTATACTTAAAAGCTAAGCGTTGGTGAACCGCTGTGTCAAGGATCGCATAACTTTACCGTACAACTTATGGCCCGCGTATGCGGGACGTATGCGGCATACGCGGCATACGTCGGAAAGATTTTGAGCAAATGCTCAAATTTTTAGCATAAGCTTACCGTACT